ATATTTTTTCTACAAACGTCAAAAAATGACAAGGTTTGCGCATTGACAACAATATGCGAAGTGACACTTTTTTTCGGATTCTTACGTTACCATGACACCGTGCGCGAAATACTTCGCGCACTAGGGTGCGAAGTATTTCGCACACTGCATGTAAATTAATAAGAGTTTTGTATTTCAATCTTTGAAAAAATGAAGCAAAACTCCAAATTATTATTTATTTTTAAATGAATAACAATTAAATACTTTTAAAATAATGCTAACAGCACATTTTCGGATGCTTTTCTTGCTTTATTTGTTTCACACCACTCCTTAAATTGCCGATATGCATTTTCATATTGGCGCTTCGATTTTTCCAGTAAAAGATTTGAAGTTACCAAATTGGTCGCATCTGCCAAATTAGGTGGGGTACTACTTAGTTCATCGTCACTAGCAATTTCCATTATTTTAAATAATATCTGGCACTTAAAAATTGAAGACACGAGCACAAACGTCACTTTAAAATAATTATTATTGTTGTCAACAATAGCCACTTTGTTTCCATAGTAACAGTGAAAATTTGATTAGGAAAGACATTTTAAGCCAGCTCAACACTATTTTCTATAATAAATTGGGCATGTTACTTATTTATGATATTTTTAAGAGATAGATTTTGACGTTTGTAGAAAAAATATTGTTTGCACCTCGTGCGCGAACTACTTTGGTGGTCTCGAATAATTTTTTAACTCGGCTTCGCCTCGTTAAAAAATTCAATTCTCGATCACCAAAGTAGCATTTCGCGCACTAGATACAAAAATAACTATTTATCTTAAAATCTAATACTAGAATGTTATTCTATGCTCTTCAATATTCCATCGTACCAATTTCTTTAAGACATTTTTTTAAAATTTGTATAACATAATATTTAAAAACAGGTATAGTCTTTCCGAAGTCAGTTGAATATGCAAAAAAATGTATGGTAATAAGATTTAATGAGTTTTATAGGCTTCCCTAAAAAAATTTTCTGCTAAAGGTAAAAAATTATAATAATTTGTATATAATGTATTGAAAATTTCTATTATGTGTTCATTTGGCCAACAACATATTTTAATTATTTATGTCCTCAAACAATTTTATTATGTTAGTGGTAAATTTTGTTTTGTTCCATTTCAAAAGGTCTCCAAAATGCCATGTTGTGATAATATTAGTAAGTAAACAAAATATCCCTCTTATTTCTCCTTTTCGCAATTGTAATATGAATGATTGATAGAAGGTGCCTATAATAAATTAAAATTACCTGAATCACACCAAATTTCGCATTACTGCACTGCACTGCTGGGCAATTTATCAACCACTTGTCGTCTACTATGATTTATTGCCCAGTAGCCCAATGCAACTGTAATCGTTTTCCTTTGCCCGCGCTCGCATTCTTCAACTGAACATATACATTTCTATCGCCTCCACGTTAAGTTCGACCGGACCTGTATATAGGTATGGCTAAATAAATATGGGAATAAGTTTTTCAAATATTTCAATACCGAGTTACTGCGTCAGCGACCAAACCTGGTACATACTATCAATCTGTTGGTTCTTCAATTGATATTGGAAAAACTATAACAGTTTCATATTTTCTTGCAATTATTTTATATTTTATCCACCTAATATTTTCAGAAATTCTGTTGAAAACAGGACAATTTTCACTGCTTTTACATAAACAATGTATTTTTTTTTCTTGCAAAACTAATCTTTATTCAGTTTTAATAAAAAATTGCAAATATAATTTATCAAACATTGGTCCTCAAGGGGTTACACCACAGTAGAATTTTCAAAAAATCGTTTTTTTTTTATTAAAAGGTAGTTTGAACTTTCTAGAATATGAGGCAAAAGGTTTTATACATGAATTTTTTGTTTTTAATTTATACTATTTAATACTGATTTATAACTTCTCTAATACACTCATAGATGTCGTTAGGGAGTATGCGTGTACAATTCAAGCAAAATTTTCAAACAAAAGTATGTTGGTGTATCATCAGTGCACGTTCATGTCTAAAACTCATTTTAAAACTTTAAACGCGTTTTTCTCGAAACACGCTTTTTCAAAACGGCACGCACCATAACTCCAACAATTTTCAATGTTTTCTTTTGAAATTTTAACCACATATTTAAAACAACATTTTGGAGAGAAACACGTACGGATTTTTCGACAAGTTAATTTAAACAACTGTTATAAACAAATAACTTCCCTTTTTTTTGTCAAAAATTTAACGTTTTACTTCAAACACTTGCCAATTTTACAAAAAACAATATTTTTACAATCCCATACGTGTTTCTCTAGCTATACTCGTGTAGATTAAGAGAAATTTTTTTTTTGTTCTACATTGAAATTTGCACTAGTTGCAGTGCGTGCTGCGGGACGCCTCGATAGCAACGCTTCAGTGCCGCCCGCCATTTTGAAATATTTTTTAAAGAAAAATTTTCTGCACACTTAATACACGCCTAATAACATACTTAAACAGTTTTTTCTATTACCTTTCCTTTTATTAAAAAAGAAATTGTCAAAAACACGCTTTTTTTAAGAAGTTACAGTGGTGTAACCCCTTAAACGAAAAGCGTAGTACATCTCTTATATCCAAAAAATAATAAAATCCGTTTTATTATGACACGGAGACTTACCTTTGGGCCAACGCGAGCTTCAATCTATCGTTTTCATATTTCAACTGCATATCGATGGGGTTGGTGTTAGCAGTTATATATTGAGTTTTATCCATCTTGACTTGATGGCTAGGACTCTCGTTGCTTTGCATGCCAGAGATTGAATGGCTGCGAGGATGGGGCACCTCATCCTCTGCTTTGGCGTTACTAGGTACTGGCATGGCAGCGCAACCTAGAAAAAAATATATTCTTAGCATTTCTATTATTTACACTTAACAAACAAGCTAAATTCAAGAGGTTAATAATTAAATACCTATTTGGCAGTTAAATTGTGAAGTATTTGTTGATAAATTGCAGAAAAATACATTGTTAGCCATATTCTGCCTATTAATCATCTATTACTTACTTGAAAACTGAAAAATGTATACTACTTTGGGCAAATATCTTATCTATGGTGTATTTTATCTCTTATCATAAATTATTTTCATTTATATTGTTTACATATGCTATAAAATAGTTTGATGTCCTAGATAACAATATTTACCCGTCATTTTCTCCAACGAATGTGTTTAAAAATACTTAACAAGTTTACACAAATTAATTTCTTATTATTGGAAAACAATTAATGTTATTTATTTTTTATAATAATGTAATCGAATGAATCAAACCTTGAAGTATACGATTCAAATTTAAAGTTCCGAATGTTTTAATTTGATATCACACGTAAAATGCGACAAAACATTGAAAGATAATTTTACAAAGCAATTTTAATGATTAAAAATCAACTTTACAAATTATGAAATTTAATTTATGTTATATGTAAATGTATATTACTTACCAGGAGGTTCAAGTAGATTGTCGGACTGATCAGGAGCAGCAGTAGCAGCTCTGGTAGTTATAGGACTAGCATTTGCACTTGTAACTGGAGTCACTGCTGTCCCACCATTGGCAGTTACCTTACTTATGGCAGATCTGGTGGCTTCTTTTACTTCGTTGAATTTGTCAATAAACTATTAAATAAATTTATATTAAAACATACATAGCAGATGAACAATTTATTCAAATAGGAAAGGAAATTATGTCATTACTTACTTTCTGAAGTTCAGCTTCTGAGGAGAAACCTAGTCCATATACAGTATTAGCTCTAACATCGGACCATTGTCCGAATTTCTGCGAGGTTTTTGTAAAAGTCATGTTAGGAGTAACAGTACTATTTATAACAGCCTTTTGACCTTCTACACTAATAATTCTGTACAAACTTCTGGAAGAATCGTAAAAAAATGAAACGCTAACTGCTGTACTTGAAGCCGGCATCCATGACCGCTTTGTTTTCGGATCAATGTGGAATACATGAGCCTTGCATGTGAAGATAGGTTGCTCACTATGAAAAAAAATGAAATTACAGTTTTACATGAAAGAATACCTGAATAAAGGAGTGGTTCTGAAATTCAACCACTAATTATGGTTCATATAAGCTAAAAATAGAACTGCAAACTGCTCAATAAATTAAGACACAGGCTAATACATTCATTAAGTGATTACTTCTAATTTTATAAATTTAATGGGAGGTGTAATTAAAAAAATAATGTATAAGTTGAATTAATCTCAGCCTTTTATAAAAGCAGAAATATAAATTAATTAATTTATAATATATTTACCCCATTGTATCCTTGCCAGACGTCATTTATATACAAAACACAACTATACAAAACAACAATTTTTTACAAAACTGTCACTGTCACTGAAAAACTGTCAAGCAAATTCCTCCATACTGCCTGTTGTATTACCAACTTTCGAACTTTCTAAATTCCAAGGAAGAACCAATAGTTTGAAGTTTGTGGTGGTACTATTTCAAAATTCATAGGTTAAAAAATTGAGGTCACAAATTTTTTTCTACTCATAAAAATTCAGTGATTTACAAAGAACAATATAATTTTATTTGATTTAAAAATTCAAACGCTTCAGTATCAAAAAGTCCCAAAGATTAGTATAGTATATTAGTATACTACTGTTGTTGGTTATATTTATTTAGGAATTTTTTCTTTATAACGTTGAACGTTGAACGTCAAAGAAAGAGGCTCCCTCTTTTGTTCTTTCCGAGGTTAGATTTTGAGAACCACGTTTCTTTCCGAAACATTTATTACATTTAGGTGAGTTTTAGTTGTATATACTTGATAAAAAAACCTCTCACGTCCTATTAAGTCTATTTTCAACAAGACCATATCGTAGATTTGTATTATTCCGTCTACTTTTTTAGTAAACATGGGTCGCGTTCGTACCAAAACCGTCAAAAAGGCCTCCAAAGTCATCATCGAAAAGTATTACACCCGCTTGACTTTGGATTTCCATACCAACAAGCGTATTTGTGAAGAAATCGCTATTATTCCCACAAAACCCTTGCGTAATAAAATCGCTGGATTTGTTACACATTTGATGAAGCGTCTGCGTCACTCACAGGTATGTTTTTAGTTTATCAGAGATGGTCTGTGAATTACATTTATGATGCCTGTTTAGGTGCGTGGTATTTCAATTAAATTGCAAGAGGAGGAACGTGAAAGACGTGATAACTACGTCCCAGAGGTCTCCGCTTTGGAACATGATATCATCGAGGTGGATCCCGAAACTAAGGAAATGTTGAAGATGCTGGAATTCAATAATATTAGTGGGCTCCAATTGACCCAATTACCTGCAAACACATTTAATAGACGTACGTAATTTTTATGTAATAACTAAGAAAAAATAAATTTTACATTGGTACAATAGTTTATTTTATTGATTATTATTATTATGAGTGATTTGTTTTGTTACTCTCCTGGAAGCTGGTTACGTTGCATGAGTGGCCATCCGTAACGATCTGAAGGCGTTTGATATACTTGTTGAGTCTGCAGTAATATATAGAAGTGATTAGATATGTCGTTATAACTAAAAATTAATACCTTCATTGATATTAGAAATCAAATTATGATTTATTAAAAATATACTTTAATGTTTGTATAGAAGTAGCATGTTACAGAAAAGCATGATAAAAGTAGTCCTTTTTTTAATACGAGTAGTAACGAAAGATTTTTTTTTTGATTTTTTATTTTATTCAAAGAACTTCTTAAAAAGGCTTTTTTCAATTCCTTCCTTGATTTATGGTCCTGATTTTGGCTCTACAAAATTATACTTACTGGCATGGCTAATACTCGCCCCAGCATTCGAAAAATGCTGGTCAGCATATAGATTGCACTGCCTCCAATATATTTAATGTAATGTTTTAATGACATGTCTTTGACCACTCTTGGCTTGAAGAAGATATGAAACAAGTCGAAACCAAAAACGAACCATATTAGTAAAGAGACTAATAGAATTCCGCATATACTACCTCCCAGAAATAACAAACCCATGAACTGAGTCTGAAATACTGAAAAAAAGAAAAATTCTTTAAAACACAGTCTGGCTCCGATATGAATTGATATACAGGGTGGTCCGAATTTTATGCAGGAAACTTCGAGGGCAGATAGATCTCTTTAAAATAATATGTGTTTGCCTTATAAACATAGGTCTGGAACGGCACCGTTTTAGGGATACAGGGCGTTGAAGTTGTCAAAAAAATTGATTTTTTGTTTATATCTCCGGAATCTATTAACCGATCTCAATAAAATTTGGTACATGTAATGTATGAGATAGTAGGCCTTATATTCCCTGAAATATGAACTTTAAAGGTTCAACCAGTGGTGTACAACTGGACAGGGGTCACTGATTTATATTTTAACGCACAAAATACGTAGAAAAGGTGACTTTAATTTTTCCCTAAGATTCCCCGTTCTCAAGTTATTCATACCAATAAAATCCCCTTGTGGCAGACACTTCTAACAATAATATTACAAGAATATTTGTTTATGTTTAAAAATAAGTGCAAATTGTAAGCACATCAACAAAATTATTTACACTCCTTTCTACACCACCTGTGAGGTAGTGTGCGATATAAACAAAAAATCATTTTTTTTTAAAACCTCAACACCCTGTATTTCTAAAACGGGGCCGTTCCAGACCTATGTTTATAAGGCGAACACATATTATTTTAAAGAGATCTATCTACCCTCGAAGTTTCCTGCATAAAATTCTACAGGAACTACATGCACATATTCAAATTAAATGAGCCTTTAAATCACAATTTGGTCAACTTGCCTGAATTTTTAATATATGTTAGTTTGAGGTATATAATAATGTGACGGTAATTTTTTTTCAACCCCCGGCTAGGGATGAAAAAAGATAAAATAAAGGGGTTTTTCCAATTAACTCAAAAGGGGTAAGAGCTAGAAAAAAAGTTTCTTATAAAAGTTGTAGAGCATAAAATTCTACATAAAAATTATATATAAACTTTTTCTTGTATTATTAAGATTAACAGAGTTAGGGTGGCTAGAAGTTAAGGGATGAATTCAGAAATTTAAAAAATCATAACAAGCAGAACAATTAATTCATTTTATAATTTTTTTTTCAATCTAAAAAATGTCTACTCTTCTCAGTTATAACAATTTCAATTTTTTAATTGTTAATTTTTATCATTTAACACTAAAACAATTTTTTTTCTATGCCAATCGATTGATTATTTAAAATAATGAAAAGTTGCTTTGGAAATTTTGTTTTACGATAAAAATAAAGATAAAAAAATCACATTCGTTTTGTGAAATTGTTATAACTTTTTTATTAAAAATTGCAAATATATGTCTATTTCTCTGAAAAGATAGTTTACATTTTTTAGAGTAGATTGAAAAAAAAATTTTAAAATTCTTTAATTTTTCTACTTATGATTTTTTTAATTTCTGAAATCATCCCTTAACTTCTAGTCTCCCGAACGCTGTTAATTTTAATAGCACAAGGAAAAGTCAATAGACCATTTTTATGTTTAATTTTTTGCTCTATAATTTTTATAAGAAACCTTTTTCTATCTCTTACCCCTTTTGAGTTAATTGAAAAAGCCCTTTATTTTGTCTTTTTTCACCCCTGGCCGGGGGTTGAAAAAAAAATTACTGTCATTTGTTATTATAATATATCTCAAACTAACTTATATCAAAAGTTCAGGCAAGTTGACCAAAATTGTAATTTAAAGGCTCATTTAATTGGACTGCACATATCCTGTTTGCATTAACGATGCTTGTAATTCCTCTGATGCAAGAGTTTAGTTCTTAAAAAGTATGTACCGAGTGTCTCGTAAAAAATGATGCAATGCTTATAACTCTTTTTTATCCAATTTTAAGAAAACAAATCATCTTCCCTAAAATATCTCTGAAAATATGCAGAATAAAGAAACTTAAGCTATTGACATTATAATTATTATTAAAGATAATAATTAACTGAAAATTATTAAAATAAATGATTGGTAGGAAAAAAAATATATGAACGTTTTTGCCAAAGGAGTAGCTATATTAGGTTCAGTGAAGTGGTTGGTAGCGGTAGTGTAAGATAGTAATAAATTGAAATGGTTTGTTTCAAATAAAATGAAAAATATTCAGTGGTGTGGAATTTCTGGGTTTTTTTAGACTTCTAACAGATCTGCCACTGGTAGACATATTCATAACTGAATTCAGTGACTTTTACCTTCAATTAAATGAATCATTAGCCTAAGTTACATAATTTTTTTAATTTCAACACCGTGTATTTCGGAAATTAACAATTTGTAGACCCTGTTTGTATAACTTAGTTTAAAACCACTCAATCACCTCTTAAATTTTGTCAACTTAATTCACACTATAGATGTGATTTTTTTTTATGGGATATATATTTTTTATAGTCTTAACAGTTTTTTTATGAATCCTCAAATACCTATAATAATTTGATTTGAGCAAAATTTAAAAAAAATAAAACAAGTAATATTTATTACCATTAATTTGGGCATTCCAGCAAAAATGATTAAAAGTGCCTTGGGAAATATTCAAATACACAAACTTATACAGGGTGTTCCTTAATGATATACGAAAATTAATGACTGTTTGCTTTATAAACTGTTGTCCAAAAATGTTCCGTTGCGAAAATACGAGGTGCTAAAATTTTAGGAGAAAGAAGGTAATTAATTAATATTTTTGAACCGCTTGAAATATTTCAGTGATAGTTAATAAAGGCGCATGTTTTTCAATGCAAAGATAATTTTTAGGTCTAACGGTGACGTGCGTACGAGCACTGACTGATATTTTTGAATAAAATAGTATGCCAATGTTTTTTTCTCATGAGATTATTTTTGAAATCCCGTTCAATTTCAAAGATAAGAGCTCACTTGAGTTTTTGTCCCGCGATGTGCCGTTTTTGAGTAAAAAAATAAAACCCATTGTATTGTCCGTAATTAATTAATGTAATTATTGAAGAACACAATTTTGCAATAAACCTAATTGGCCTGGAATGTATCACTTGCATTTCTATATAAGAGAAAGCATAATTGCAGCATGTGATAGAATAAAAATACTACGAGAATATATGAACGAGCACCCAATTCCATGAGAAGGGGAGCGGAAGCATGCATATTAAGTGAAGGAGGCCATTTTCAACAATTTTTGTATTAGTAATTTGATATTAGTTGTAATGTTATGTTAATGTTGTATGTTGTTAATTGTTGTTTTTCGTTATACGCAGGTGCCAACCTGTAATGTATTTAATTTTTGCTATTAAATTATTAATGATGTAAGTTTTTTTTATTCAAAAACAGCGCATCGCAGGACAAAAACTCAAGAGAGGTCTTTCGAATTGAACGGGGATTTCAAACATAATTTTATTTGGGAAAAAACTATTGGAGTACCATTTTTTTCCTTAAAAATATCAAAGTCGGTGCTCGTATGCACTATTAGAGCTAAAAATTATGTTTCCATTAAATATTAATTTCCTTCTTTAACCAAAAATTTAGCAACCCGTATTTTCGCAATGGGACATTTTTGAACAATAGTTTATAAAACAAACTATCATTAATTTTCCATGTAGAATAACTCTTAAATATTTGCATATCATTAAGGAACACCCTGTATATTTATTTTATTATTGGAATAAAGATTTTTGGTAATATTATTACATATGTTGACAAAAAAATTTACATCATGAATGGCAATTCTTGCTTAGATTAGATTGCATACAAAATTGAATGTCCAATGGAAACATTGCATGGGTGGTAAGTAAATGAATTTGACATATTTTTCCCTGTAAATATTTTGCAACACCTATTTTTAATGTAGGCATTGAAGAAAAGTGTTAAGTTTTTTGATTTTTAAAATCAGATAGAAAAGTATGAGACACTTGGCATATTAAACTTTATTAAAAAATGGTATGGTAAAAGATTAATCATTTTGGTTTTTGTTTATCGTTTAATAAAACAATTGAATGTTTGTTTTTTATTTTATGCACAACTAATCTACAATAGAAGGCAAAAGAACTTATTAAAGTTTATTAGTTGAATACTTTTTGTATTACAAAGAAATTAGACACCTAGAACATTCTTAATGTTTGCTGTATCTTGTAGTGTAGGAACTATGTATTAATAGTTATAGATCGAGAAAGTAGATTTGATCGCATTAAAATCCTGACATTCAATTGTTTTCTTTTTCAGATCTGGAGTCCTCAGACAAATTACGATAAAAAAACTAGTATTTAAGAGCTTTCTTCGTCTTAACTTCGCAAAGTTCATGCCATAGCAAGAATGAAGAGAGCAATGGATTATTTCCAAAAAAAATACGTAACGTATAGTAAATTTTGCAACTGCTTTCCGTATTGCTGTTAACGTTTATATATATCGTGTGAAATT